CTAGTTTTACAAATTTTTCAGCTGTTTTCTGGCGACTAAGTCTACAAAATTTTTGCAAGAACCGTTCACGTAGTTTAAAACCGCGAAGGTATCGCAAAGATGTTCGACGTAGCAATAATGGTATGCAAACGGGAGCGCGATTTCCTGTACAAGCATCGAGCCTGGCGAGGAAGTGGCAATATTTGCAGACTGGCTTCGCTACCGAAAGTTCGGAATCCATCTACCTGAAGATAGTGCCGAGCAATATTTACCCACCTGCAATCAATTTACTGATTTCCTCACAAATTAGATCGAGCTTTGCGGCTACGGTCACATATACATGTACCAATAAACGATTTTTGCTTCGTTGGTCGTTGGATCTTCTGTAATCTCTCATTTCGATGGGTTTAGGGATATCAATATTTGTATGAATCATGATTCGATTCAACTAGTTGTGTTTATAATTCTACTAACGATAACTGTGATACGACGTGTATGAAAATGACCATTCCTGAATTTCAAATTTTCACCTGATTTTTAATACGACAGTAACCCTCGTAATTAATCACACGACGCACACACTTCATACTTCAGTTTATTTTTATTGTAAAAGTTAACTAAAGATCCTTTGCTATCATAAATACATATAATTATTTATTGGAATAACGAACGCTGTTTCCATTGTATTATTGATTAGGAATTTGTATGTGCTCGAAATTTAAATTATTCGACCAGTGCACATAGACTTTTGAAGTTGTTCGAATAATTACGAGAGATAACACATATACGAAGATGAGTATGGAAATTAACGAAGGAGGTTAGAGTATTAGTAGAGCTGAGTACAGCTTAAACATATTCATTACTGCTGACATATGCATCCATTTAATTGAAGGAGGAGCAAAACAACGAATATTCATTACGTGTAAATAAGTTATCGAATAAAAATCAGATAAAAATAAATTCACTTTAGAAATCATTTTTCAATATTTTAATCGACCGATCATTTAAACGAGAAAAAAGAAAGGATTTTTAGGTACGCTACATCCTGTGATATTCGATGATACGCACTACAATCAGAGTTACGTGAAAGTATTATTAAATTTTTTATACTTTTCTCGACAGGATAACTGACGATAATTTAAAAATGTAACACCAGCTTAACGTAATTTCTTTGTTCATATTTTTACTTTAATAGGATCACGTAAGCGGAGAACGCGAAGTTACCTCGCACCCTTGGCGTTGCTAATAAAGGTTAATGAAAACACTAATAAGGATCCCGACATTATTTTTCATTAGCGCGACGTTTCATCGTCGCTGCTCTGACCTCTTCCTGTCGAGTTTCTTATCGACTAGAATCCAACGTATTTCCTTTTGTTTCCCCGAGTAAATTTTCCACGCTAAAGGTGCAGAGACGACGTTATTAAAGGCAGTGAGGGAGCTTCCCTTTCGTTGATATCCAGGTGGAAAAGTTCGCGCGCGAGCTATGAGAAAGAGAAACGCGAATGGAGTCTCGGAGATCTGAACGCGATTGTTTCGTTTCAACGTGGCTGATAACGCGTAGCTGCGACGCGACGACCGAGCTTTTGGCGCGCGCAAAATAAATGCACGCCGTAATTGAAATGTAAATTTTTCTGAAATAATTGAACGAATCGATTGCAAAACGGCGCGAAGAAATACAAACCCTCTATTAAACAAACAAATTTGATCCAAAATTTATATTGATACGATCCAAAATAATGAAGTATATAGTTTAGCTTGGTTTCTATTGATTTATAATTACATTGAGAAAGTATAAGTATTGAGAAAGTTTTGTATCATCGTTTTAATAATTCGCTTGTAAAACAGACTTGTAAAGCTATAAATAGTAAAAGGCGATTTATAAAATATGGTCCTTTTACTTGTAATGAAAAGATTTTCATTAAAATAAATTATATGTTCATGTAACATTGTATGTATCTATTACAAAATGACAATAATTATTATAATAAAATATGCCATTCCACAAAATGTATATGTATATTTTGAAAAGATATATTTTTTATTCTGTAAATAGATACATTTTTTAGACTCTTGTTCTCTTTCTCTCGATCTCCTTTTGTGGAAAATCGAAGAGAAAAGATACGATATTTCCTGTGACCCATGATATACAAATTCTGTGGGATCGAAACGTTCGACGAAAGGTTCGTTTGATGTGTCAGGAAACTAGTTGAATGTTCAGTGGACTCGTCACATTCTCCTATCGGCCATTTTAATCAATTTGTCCCCATCGATGAGAAATTTCCTGCCGAATATTTAAACGACTTCGAAACTCTTCGTTTCCCACGGGACACCTTGAAGCGGAAAATAGTTCGATTACACTTTTTCTTTTAATTGTTCATTGCAGATCGTCGATTATGAGACTTCACATAATTACGTGAAGATGCTACGTAAAATGTTAATGCGCTACCATGAATAGGATTAATTTTGCGTAAGGGCAATTTCATTTTATGTGGATCGAGGACGCAGACTGGTAACCGAAACTGGAATTTTAGGTTAAAGTATACTAGATATCTACGAGGTAAGTGTGCCACGCGAGGCATCTGTTGGCTAAGCACTAACACTTTCTCTTGTAGATTGCAGAACGTTGATTGTAGAACGAGATAAGTTCCCGAGCTTTATGGGGTTGGCGGTTAAAGGGATGTGAAACTGATATGTCGTACAGACGTAACATTTTAACTTTAATTCATATCATTCAAAATTATTACAAGTATAAAATTTGCTTATGAACTATTTTTCCCTACACGCTAGAAAAAAATTCATTTCATGTAGATCGAAGTTATAAAAACTATTCTGATTTGAATAAAATATTTATGAATTGCCAACTGCCAGAGAAAAGTCAACAAATATTATAAACTCGTAGTTACTATCTCATAAATGAAAAAAGGAGAAAGATGAAATAGGAAATGCCTCTTCAAATGCTTCGTCTGATTTATGGCGACCTATACCACTTACGCTCCGTTTCTCTGCACATCATGTACATGTTATGTAAATCTCTACGCTTACTAATTGATGTAAACACATACTAATCGGGTAAATAAACATGCCGCAAAGAAGAAAATCTGAACTTTTACCAATGGAAAACATACTACGTTGCCTAATAGACGAATTTTGTTCAATCTATCATCTATTAAGGATACTAGATGTTTTTATACTCGCGTAAAACAAAATTCTAATGTCAAGTCTAAAGTCAAATCTAATGTAAACACGTTGGAACTTTACGCTTTTACGCATACAGATGCAATGACATATAATAATTCGTTTCATCGCTAATCAAATCAGAGTATAAAATGTCTTAAACACGATACGTGTATCAGTCTCAAATAAGCAAGTGTAGCCACAAGTACTTAACATTTGACAGAGAAATGAATTGTAACACGTAATCTGTTCTGCGGCTATAAAGGATCGTCTCACGAGTATAAATGCCGATTAAGAAGATAGCAGAAGCAACGATTACCGTGTTTCGTGTGCATTCGTATCAGTTTCGTGAGGAATAGAAAACAGAGCTTAACCAGTTGGAATTCAAGTTGGGGAAGTAATCTCCCGTAATCAAAGCCTTGTTCGACGTCGTAGCTTAACTGGAAATCGGTATCAACCAATCCCAGGTGTTCAATTGGCACCGTGCCACGATTTAAGCCCAGCTTAAATTTCTCGCAATGGCCGGGGAACTGGGGCAGATTCAGATTAGAATTAACTAATTGTTGCGTAGAGCGGTATAATTAGCCCTTCGTTAACCGTGTACTAACGTTTAATTAAAATCATATACGGCGATGAATCGTTCGCGATGATACGGTTTGAAGGCC